ATGATATTACTGTACAACACTGTGTGGTTTATCAAGATAAAGTCTTGTCAATAATGGAATGGTCTAAGGACCTTTGTGTGCTCTACCACAATTGGGCGCATTCGAGTTGCGATGAGGGTTATCTCGCCATATCTCTGGGTGGTACGATCAGACGAGAAAACATTACAAAAGTATTCAGGGAGATTTTCAGCCTCGTGCGATTCTTGTCAATCACATACTTACAGAGATTTCGAATTTTGCGGTGGTCCTTCTGGAAATTTTCCCTTCCCGTCATTATAAATTGGCCCCATAAGTTCTTCCTCCGTCTTAATAGCCTCTTAATTTCACTAGTAATCCAAGGTGGCTCATGTGATAGCTTTCGAGGAGTGTACCAGGGTACAAAAGGTAAATCCCACCCAAGCTTCCTTGTCAGTCCAACTTGTATCAGCTGACTGGTCAACTACAGCTGCTGAGTTCCGGATACCCACTATATGCAATTTCCAAATGTTTGGATGAGCAGATGTTGACCTGTGTATGAGAGAATGAATCTCAAACGTAAAAGTAATGACTACGTGGTTACTGCTGCCAAGCGGCGGAAGGCACCTGGTGTTACCAGCGTCCTCCTTCGGGTGTGTTGGTACCAAGTCTAGAGTAGATAGATCATGTTCAGGGTGATACCTTGTTGGTATATGCATGTGTTGCACTAGTGCAGATTCAAGCACTGTCAGTGTGAGCTGCCTGTTGAAACAGGTATACAAACTAGTGGATTTTAATTCCCCCCAATTAATATGTGGAGCGTTAAAGTCACCAACCACCAGACACCTATTTTTACTACTCAAGTAATTTAGAATGAAGTCATCAGATAAGCTAGCAGGAATTCTGTAAATAACTTCGATCGTTAAAGTGCCCTTGTTCAAGTTAATGACATGACTTGCGGCTTTACTGGTGCCGCTTTCATGGGCTTCTGACAGCGCTGACCTAATCCTTACGTCATCCCTGATGTATAGGCAACCCCGCCACCTTTCCGACTAATTACTGTGTCCGCTGTAATGCAGTTGTACTCAGGTATGAGTGTAGTTAAGTCTACACTCACTAACAACCATGTCTCACTGATAGCAATCACATCAGGTTGTAGTCTTTCAGATAATTCTCCTAATTCGGCAAGTTTATTAAAAAGACTGAATGCATTCTTATAGCACATTGAAACACCTATGTGTTCGTCCGGCTTATGGATAGAGGTCTCGGCAGCATCGGTTTCCAAGACCTCACCACCCGGAAACCCAATAGCCTTAGGTCTTTTTCGCCTTTCTCTAGCCTGTATTTCAGTTCAGCTACGGCTTCTTTTCTCTTGATTCTGTCTTGTATCGACCAATCAGGCCATATTTTTAAACTCTTATCATTGATTTTGAACGCGTTTTTGGGGATGGTGCTTCTCTCTGTCTCGTTCTCTAAAACTATCTCAAGTAGTCGTGGAGAAGTTTCTGTAGCATCAGGGTTTGACTTTCCGATCCTGATGGCCTTTCTCATGCGGACTCCAATTCTTTTTTTGAGAAGTACTTCTCGAAAAATGGAGCTAACCGCCTTCAGATCATCTGCATGTTGGGCAACTGGATCTGTGTTTTTAGATTCTTCGAAGTTCCAGATGTTGACACTGTAACTAGAGTCCGCAGATTTCGGAGTTTTGTTGATATTAACAGCCGTCGAGACCTTGTTGGTAAGACCGGTTACTGTTTCTTCCCTGTTTATTCGGCTTTTTACTTGTCGGCACCAACCAAGTGGAGTCGGTTTCTTCCACTTTGTTTTCGCCGTAACTAGAAGACAGTCGTACACTAGACACGCCGCGCTTTGGGGTGGCCATTTCACAACTGGTATAACCATCTTGGCACTACTTGCCCTTTCAGATTTTCTTTGTTTTTTGCGCTTTACCGCTGTGCCTCTTTGTATACGACAATTCAGGATGTTATACAGTCTCAGTTTTGAAACTGAGTCCTGAATCGCCATTGTTTCTGATGCTTTCTGATGCAGGCTTTTTGTCTGAATTTTTCAGCAATTTCTTGGACATAAGAAGTTCTACTGCATCTTGGATGAGGACATCCAACTGGCCACTGCAAAATTTGCACACCAACGGAGATGATGACTTACGACACCTCTTATAAGCTACTGGTGATAAGACATTGCAAACTTTGTGAAACCACAGGCTGTAGTTTCCACACTGCATCCCACCATCCACCGGAAAGTGGGAGTCCGGTCGTCTACAGTTGTTAGTCAGGCTCATAACTGTGTAATTTGTTCAAACTGCGCATATCTATATACATGAAAACAATAAGGTAAATATCAAATAAAACACAAAATTTGAATAAATAAATAAGCTAAATTGAAATAAAAAGCTTCTGATGTGATTTGAACCACAAAGACAAAGTTTACATCACAATGTATTCGTATCCCGCGCAAATTGCCTTGTGGATGTAGTTTTCCTGAAACAGTATTTGCACTTCGATATATGAATCTTATCGATGATCCTCCAAAGCTTGGTACTAATTTTTCTAGTAAACGAACATTTAAAGTCATTTGATATTTCCACCCGAGCGGCTTTTTCGAGATCCTTTACGTGTCTTAAGTTTCCACATTAGTTGGTTAGCAGTGACATCACGCGTGTGTTATCTAAGTTAACTTATTCATTTTTTGTTATGACATCGTCAATACTGTTTTCATCTTTCCATGTTCCTATAAGTCGACATGTTCATTCTCATAGATAGTTTCACTTATGCATTATGATATGCAGATAATTTTGAGGCTTTATCAAATAAATTTACTCAGTGATATGATTATATTCTACAACAGTGTCCAAGTCTTATACATACGACAATTGGTATGTCTCTGAAAGCTCAGACCTTGTAGGAAAGTTCTATAAATCCCTTGAGTGATTATATATTATGCAATATGCTCTTTTCAGATGAGCTCCTTATTTTTCTAATTATTCAGTAAATATGGTTATTGAACATAAAATATTGTTATCACAGCTTTCAGCATTAGAAGGAAATCAAAAGTATCAAGATACGAGGTAATGTCAGTAATACTTTGCTCTTCAATAACTCCCCACCAAGTGTGGTAATCAATGGAGAAGTCGATGTATGGTTGTGCATAAGTACATCAGTTCAGCTTACTGCACTTCGAGGATGCATAAAATTAGAGGATAGAATAAGATGTCGTATTGTATTGCTGATGTAGTGAAAATGTGGTTAGTCGAAAGTTTATGGGTATCATAGTTGTGGAGTATTTATATCTATTATTATTATTGTTCCCTTGGGTTCCTACTGGAACATAGGGCTTCAACTGCACGTCTCCACTTGCTTCTGTCTTCTGCTGTACTTTTCACCTGCATCCATGTTAGTCCATACTGTTTCGACTCCTCTTCGCACGATCTCCTCTATGTCACCCTTGGACGTCCCACTCGCCCCTTCCCTTTCGGGTTCCACTTGAGCCATGGCCTGACGCGCGATGTCACCCAGCGGCCTCCTCAGCGAGTGTCCGATCCATCTCCACTTTCTCCTGCATATTTGTTGGTCGATTGGTTCTTGTTTTGTTTGTCCCCATAGTTTCTTGTTGGTGATTCTTTCCAGCCATCTGATCTTCAGTATAGAGCGAAGACAGCTGTTGATGAAGGTCTGCAACAGGATGTTGGAAATATTCTTTGTGACCCGCCAAGTTTCTGATCCGTATAGAAGAACTGACTTGGTGTTTGTATTGAAAATCCGAATTTTGTTGTTGATGTTGAGTGACGAAGATTTCTAGATTGGTTTCAGGTTGATGAATGTGTTTCTCGCCTTCCCGATTCTCGATTTGACATCCTTGTCCGTTCCTCCTGTAGTTGAGACAATGCTCCCTAGATAAGTGATGAAGTAACCTCTTTCAAATCCCTCCCGTTGATGATGATTGGCGCTGGGTGTTGCTGCTGCTGTTGTTGTTGTTGGTTGGTTATTTTCATAACCTCCGTCTTGTCTATGTTCACCTGGAGTCCTGTCTTTGCTGCTTCTTCGACCAGTTTGTCGGTTTTCGTTTGTAAGTCTTCGATTTTGTGACATCAAACATAAGTCATCCGCGAAATCCAGGTCTTCTAGGTTCTTCACGTCGGTCCAGGATATCCCTGTCTTCTCGTTTCCCACTGTCTGATGCATAATCCAGTCCACCACAATTAGGAATATCATTGGTGATAACAAGCACCGCTGTCTGGCTCCTGTGTTTACTCCAAACGCCTTGCTGAGTTTTCCGTTGTGGATCACTTGACATGTGCCGTTGTCGTACAGCTGTTGAATAAGGTTGATGAATATTTGGGGTACTCCGTAGTACTTGAGTAGTTTCCAAATTACCTCTCGGTCAACGCTGTCGAAGGCCTTCTCAAAGTCTATGAAGGAAGTTGAGGTAGAGGTTTGATTGCCATTCCATGCTTTGTTCGATGATGATGCGTAGAGTTGCAATTTGGTCAGAACATGATTTGCCTTTCCTGAATCCAGCTTGTTCTAGTCAGAATTCTGTATCCAGTGAGTCCTTTATTCTCTCCACGATGATGCGACTCAGAATTCTACTTGGCGTCGACAGGAGCATGATTCCTCGCCAGTCCTTGCAGAGTCCCAGGTCGCCCTTCTTTGGTAGTTTCACGAGGTAACCTTTCCTCCAGTCAGTACGCACCTTTCCCTCCTTCCAGACTTTTTGCAATAGTGGAGTCAGCATATCTGCTGTCGTCTCTGGGTCCGCTTTCAGTGCTTCAGGGGGTATCGCATCTGGTCCAGCTGCTTTTCCAGCTTTCAGAAGCTTGATTGCATCCAAGACTTCATCTTTCGTTGGAGGATTGGTGTCAACTAGATAACTAGCTCGCTAGTTTTCTAGCCGGTCCCAAGCCCGGATAAAAAGGGAGGGTTGGGGCGTGGTGCTAGCAACTCCACCCCCAAAACTTAACCAAATTGCTACAGAAACTTCAACGCATAAATATATTAAAAATATTTATATCTACTGAGAACGATTATAAGCTTTATCGTATCTAACCATTAATTCTCAGCACACCTCGGACTCCAGTTAAGCTCTGACCATCAGCCATGGATTTTCGCCATCGCTTTTGATGTGGTTTTCTGTTGACTGGAAAGTTTAGTTGCGCGGCTTCAAACTGGAGATGCTCTTAAAATGCCTGTTACGACAATGATGGTTTCACAATTAAGTGATACAACTCAGAGAACGACAACAAATAAGCCAAAATCCTCTATTACATCTAAATAGTTACCTTTAAGCCTGATGATTTCTTACTTTTTCCAACCAAATCGCACTTCCATCAACATTGTTGGTGGGGAAAATGGTAGTCGGGGCATGTTTCACGTTGCTGGCTATCTCCACTAATGAAGAATTACACTGCATGGCTTGCTTTCTTCACCACTGAACCAAATCTATCTATTACTTATCAAATTTTCCCACTATAGACGAAGACATGGTTAAAGTTATATAACTCCTACAGGTCTGCTACTTTTAGTGCTTATGTGCCTTCTTAAAGTAGGATGGGATAGCATCAAAAACAACACAAGCTGGGAAATGAAAAGCGACATTTTTGTATATGTTCTAAGACTTCATCAGTAAGAATTTCATTTAGATTGATATAACTTGGCGTGCAAATAAAGTTATCTACATATTTCACCGAAAATCTATTGTTTCTATTGGATTTCATTGCTTGACTTTTTCCATTTTAAAGTGTTTAGTCGTGTTCTACCGGTTCTGTTTAATTTGAACCTATCTACATTAGAAAACCGATAATTGGTGACAACTGTTGATTACTACATTTATTCTTTCCAGAACTCCTGAAACGGTTATATAGTCAGTCCATACAATTCATCTAGAAAGTTTGATGCTTAATATTTGAAGTTTATTAGTAGTCATTAAAGTAACCAGTTATGGCGAAATATCATGCAACCTCTCTGTGCTAATTATTATTACTGCCAAAGAGAAATGAGTTTGTCTAACCAACCAATTAACCCAACTTTTTTTTCCAGATGTTATGGGAAGATGTGGAGCTACAATTCAAAATTGGTTCTTAGCAATAGAAAAAGGCGATCTGTCGCTGGTTCAAAAACTCTGGAAGGATATAAGTGATATAGATGTCACGGATACATACATCCTCAATAATATTAAGGTATGGTAGTTTTACGTTAACATATTCTTTAGCATGAAAATGTAACTGGGCTGATTATTGGTGCCCATTTCGGTCACAAGGATGTAGTTAGATGGCTTTTAAAAAATAAAGCAAATGTTAACTGGGAAACTAATGTTAGTTGTTGATTTGTGTTATCATATATCAACTATTTTTAGCTGAAATGGCGTCCGATTCATTTCGCCGCTAAACGTGGTCACTGTGCCACGGTGGATATGCTTTGCAGCAGTGGAGCACTTGTTGATCCAGTTACAATGGTATGTTACAGTTTTGTATGTTATTCCCCCAGAATAATGAAACGCCTCTGTCGCTGGCTCTTCAGTCTCACATGCGCGATACTGTGCGCAAACTTGTACATCTAGGAGCACAAGCAAACAAAAGTAACGAAGTAAGTAAGGGCGAGAGGATTTTATATCTGGTTTGTGAAACTTTCAGTCACATCACGTACCTTTAAGCCTTATTTATAAATGTGTTTATGGTCCTAACTTGATACATTGGTAATTTATCTTTATAGAGTCTTGTCTATCACTACGTTTGCCGTGGGATGCTAGTACCGGATAATTCATCACAAGCGCAACGTGAGAATGTTGATACTGCTCGTGATGGGAGCTTACAGTTGCGAAATCAAAGTCCACGAACCAATTCATCATCAGTACCAGATACCGGTTCTTCTCCATCCTCAAATGGTGATACAACGGACTTTTCGATTGCAGTTTTCGATAGTCAAGTTATAATGAATCAACTTCAGTGTCAGTCGACAAGTTACGACTTAGAACTTGCCAGACGAAAAAGAGAACTAATCAGGCGCCTACCATTCCTACCATGTATGTCACAACATTCAGCTAATCAATTCCTGCAATTGACTCAGGTCGCTTCCCGTGCAGATTTACCCCTGGAAAATCGTCTATCTACAGTTTCTCATCTTTTCAGTCTGCTTCCTATTCTGTCTCCCAGCGATACTCATAGTGATCTTTCCAGTAAGACTGCATCAATTGGCATTATCATTGAACCATATTTGCGTCTTTTTGAGGCGTGCTTGTGTGAATCTCATTGCTCCCTAGAGTTGTGTGTTCAATTAAGTAGGCTTGCTGTGCATATAGCAGCCTTAGGGGCAGGAAAACGTTTTGATACCAATGGATCTGTTACTAGTGACGAATTTTCTCCTAAAACAAACACCCCATCTGCTCATATCATTTCTTACATTTTAAAGTTACTCAAGAGGCTGCTTCTCAAAGGAAATACTCAGTATAGATCAGGCATTCTTTCACATATTTCACGGATCTTATCAGATTTATGCTTACCAATGAGTCATAAAAGTAATCAACCTTTTAGTGTTATTTGTTCCTGGTGTGATCTTTTACCATTTGTTTCAAGCATCATTTCAAGGCTTATTCGCTTAGGTGAAACTCTTGATCAACCACTAAACGTATCACGTTTTGCACAACTTGTTAGTCTTATTGCTCGATGTTTGATTAGCTCTCTTCCAAAAGCCAGCCAGATTTCCCTGTCCTCGCGAATTTCTGACCTTGCAGATATTCTTGTGGGCTGGAGTGTGGATTCGTCTAGTGGCTCAAAAGATGTAAATGTAAGCCCTATATGTGACGAAATTTACTTTGGCCTTTCACATTGGTTTTTCCTACGTACAGAAGATAAGCCTGAAGAATCAAAGCAGTTTATATCGTTGCCGGTTGTAAATGAAAATATTCGAGAAATGGTTACTCACTTATTGGAAGATAGCGAAAATTCACTGAGTGCAGCTATTTCAGAAAGCACCACTGTTAACAACAAACGTAGTCCTACAGTACCAGGAGGTGCGATACCTTCATCTGACCCAAACGGTCATTTTGTATCACTTCAACTCTTCCTCAATGTTTTGTCTAGCATATTTGGAGGTATCTGCAATCGTAACTTTGCTTCAGAAGATATTGGTTTCGACCATTTAATGTCTGGTGACGTTTCACAATGGATTGAACGTCTGCTGCGCATTGTCCAATCAACAAACGCTTATTATATCTCATTGTCATCACAAAAACAAACTACTTCATGGCACTCTTCTCATACCCCGACTTGTGCTTTTCATGTCCCATTTATTGTCCTGGATGGAATTCAGTCTTCAGTTTTCCAACTATTAAGCTGTTTGGTACAATTTTCTGACTGTTCAAATGCTGATATTCTAGCCGTACAAAACTGCTTGATATCTAGTGTGAATGTTGAAAGTTTGGTCTTTACTGATTATTCATTGACTTCATTACTTGATCTCATATTCACTATCCTGAAAGTGAAATACTCCTCTACTTCAACCTCTGTAATTCCTTCGTCGTTGTCAATTTATTTTGATTCTCATTCAAAACTGCATCATTTCAAATTGTGCTGCAAATCAGATAGCAGGAGGACTGATACACCAAGTCAGAAAATTTTCCAAGTACTGTGTCATTTATCGTCTATGAATTCTCTTCAAAAAGCTGTTTGCGAATTAGCATTATCTGATCTTGAATTGGCAACAAATTCTCAGAAAGATTTGGATTTGTCTGTATCTTCAAGCACTTGTAATTTGGAAACCTTATCATTATTCAGTTTATCACTGTTATCCAAATTGATGCGAAACATGTCTTATGAACTCAGAAATGAATTGCTTTGCCGTATATTTGAGATCGTTCGAGTAAACTGTTTGAAGAACTGGTCTGTTGTTCCAACTCGTGTCAGAATAATCATCCTGACATTTTTGAATAATCCATCACTACTTACAACATTTCAAACAGTCAACATTATGGATATGTTAACCAGCTTTCTTTCTATCAGGAATATTTCCAATATGGAGAGTTGCATTCTTCTGAATTTAATCGACTACTTTTTCTCTGAAGGTATCATGTGTTCCGATGATAAGCTAACTTTATTTACTCACCTCGTAGTATTGTCAAAGCGTACACTTGTTTCACAAGTAGCTTTGGATTCATCTCGTCAAAATGTTTTTATCTTGTGCGCGAACGTATTTGTGAAATATGCTCTCCCATACATCAAGAAGGGTGATGCAAAACTTGCTTCTTATCTTTTACACTTAGCACAAATCTCATTATCTTACCCATGCTTGCAAGTTCAAAAAGCTGGTAACGATTTATTACTTCCAGTTGGATCATTTACTTCCAATAAAGTCGAATTTCCATCAACCAACTTATATTCAGAATTGCTCTGGATTACCACTCGACGACCAGATTATTCGTCTACAGCTTTATTATCGTCAACCAGCCTTGGTTACGCAGATTGTAATAATAGTCCAGCGGCGATGATCACTTCTTTTCCTAGCCTTCCCGCTGTTGCAGGAATTCTGGGCATTTTAACAAGAGGAGCTCCTTATACACAGAAATTAGAAAGCAGTCGACTGAGAATTCTAAAGGACCCAAATGATTGGATCCGACGTTTGTCGCATTTAATTTCTCCGCTTCCATCAGATTGCAAACGTGACCTGTCATTACTTCAGTGCACTAGTTTTATGCAGCCGGTACTATGGCACGCAGCATGGGCAATGGTCGAATACAAATTGAAGGTTGCTCCTTGGGCTAATCCACTGAGAACATTCTTCTCTCTTGAAGGAACTTTAAGAGCGTTTCTACGATCAAAAGACACCATCGATTCTTGTAATGGAAACTCGAATTCAATAGCACCTTTTTATGTAGCTTCTTCTGAGGCGCTCGCTCATCAGACAACCAATCGACAGCTTAGTCAAATTCAATTGCTTATGAGCTTTTTGGGGTATCTTGAACGCATTATTTTCAATGCCACTAGTGGTTTTGCGACTGCACTACCGCGTCCTTCAACAACTGCTACTCTATTTTTCACAGCAAATGAAAATACGTGTACCCAGTGGTACAGTCGAATTCGAAATATTCTAATTCTAATATCAAGTGACTTACCACTGGTATCGAGAGCTGGTGTAGGACCAGCCATTGAAGTCTTATCTACTACTGTCTATCACTCATATAGCTTGCTGAGGATTGTCTCAAGTTGCAAAACCCCGAATGATCGTGATGTGTGGCTGAACACGTTGAGGCAGTATGGTGGATCAAGTGACATAATTATTCATTTATCCAAATCGCTTCATAAATTAGGAGCTTGGGAAGAATTGGAGGCAACTAGATAGTATCATCAGCCCTCACACAATAATTGTGTGGCTCCCATACCTTGGGATATGAAAAACCTGTTCTGGGAGTTGAGTTCAAACAAAGCAAATTTGCTTTACTGAGTCAAAGGTATATAGTTTATAGCTAAACTGTCTTCTGACTACATTTCATCCTTAACATTGTATTCCAGTCGAATACCTATAAATGATCAAATCATCAATCGTTCTAAAAATCAGCAAATACACCATGCACTGTTAGATGCATTAGCTTTAATACGAATAATTGAAGTGGTGTATAACTGACGAGCTTGTGACTTCCTCTTGCATGAATCCTTCAGAGCATCTTAAAATCAGAAACAGTTATAGTAGGCACAGAAATCTAAACTGTACCGATGGTCTCTTCCTAAGTGAAACTCTCATGCACTGTTATTATCTAACCACATATTGAAACCTTATCTATTCATGTCTATTCATGATACTGTAGGTAAACAAGTGGCGTCGTTAACCCTCACATGACAGTCACGGTTGAATTATTTGTATGGGGTTGTTCATGTTAATCTGATAACTGCTGAATATCCCACTGTTCCCTCAGGAGATTCATTACTTGCCAATTTTAAATTATATCAGTTGGTTACTATTAGAAGAGTTTTTGTATGCATGTATCATAAGTTTTGTTTCTATATTTCCAATGAACGAAATATTCCCATATTGAGTCATAAGAAAAAAACATAAACAGCGAAGAAAATTTTCTTCTATCGACGATTCATTTTTCATAAGCTGTAAAATCGTAATTATATTTAACAAAGAAATCATAAGACCAATCAGATACTGGTAAAATTTAGTTGTCAAGCTTGTTGGTAGGTAGTGCTGGTTTCTAATATTATTTTGTCAAAGAACTGAGTTTTGCCCAGATACTTATTGTGCGATTGTAATGAATGAACTTGCATTTCTAGATGGTTGGACGACCTCTTCACTCCACAACAGAATCCATTTTCCTGGCTTCATGGTGTTTCTTTTTTAACTCGTGGAGATTGGGATCAAGGCATTTTACAACTAACTGGTTATCTTGATTCGAACTTATCCAAAAGTAAAGTATTGGCTTCAGAAAATTCTACCACTAGCGAGACCAGTGAAATTTCCATTCATGCAGCGTCCACAGTGTATGTTACTGACGTCCTTCTTCAAAGTTATCTTCTTGAAGGCAACTGTGATGCTGCTGTGAAACTACGCAGTCGTGTAAAGCCGTATTTCAAGGGAAAATCACTGAAAGATTTCGCACTAGGGCTTACTTCAGCACGTCTTGACTGTATGAATAAATTGTTCAAGTAAGTTTAGTCGAACGTGAAATTCCACTCAAATATTTTACCTTTCATGAATAATTGGAAAATTCACCGTGAAAATTATTGTTCTGTAGGTCATATTATTTGTGTACAATCACTATCTATTTCTCTTCTATTATACCTTATAAATTAAGTTGTATGACAAACTGTAGATTGACTTATTTATCTAACTGTGATTTACTTTTAATTATTTTTGAACAATGATATGTCAGTTGTGCAGTTTCATTGTTAATCTTCGAAAACATCATTTCTCAATGCGAATTCAAAAAAGAGTTTGTAAAATCTTCCCTTTAATACATCTTAACAGATTAAAGGTGAGTATATGTCTCGTTAGCTTTTAGCATTAGAGTTTTAGTGACTAGGTTTCGTGTTTGAATCCCATCACATCTGCCTTAGCTTGAGCAGTCAGGTAGTATTACTAACCATCACAATAAATGTGACTCAGCCTGGTCTGTGAAAAGATCCGTAATTAAGTTTCAACTGTTGATATTGAGGAATTGTGGTCATACTTTCATTCTTTCAAGTTCATTGTAAAATTGACATCCTATAATTTAAAGAACTGTAGCTGATTGGTTTAAACTTCCAACTGGTTCTTACATCATACATGATCCATTGGCTCGAGCACTCAGCTTTTTTCATTCAAGTAGGTCCCGGGTTAGAGTTCTGCTTCAGACTGAAAAGCTGGGTAGTATCAGGAGCCCTCACACAGTATGTGTCTTACGACTTGACACATCAAAAATTTGTACGGGTAATAGAACTCGTATACAGCAAGCATAATACACAATTCCATATTTCGTTGCACTATAATATCTGACAGATATAGATTTGAAATCATGACTGTAATTTTCCACTTAGTCATGTTTTCTGTTTCTCGCATCAAAGTCATATGAGTCGTTTGACATTTCTGTGGTTCTTAGTTTGAGTAGTGGTAATATAATGCATTAATGTTGCAATGCTTGACTTTGATCATCCCCTTTTCCTTCGTACTTTTTCGTTTGCTAACAGATGGACTTCTTCAAAAGATGTTAGTGTTAATCGTGATCCGTCTGAACTTTCGTCGCACAACTTTCTTCAAACGCACCTGAACAGTTTACTCATCAATGCTGTGTGTTCAATGCGTCAAACTCAAGATGTATCCTCACCAAGGTGTTTTTCCGAATTGATTTCCATAGTAAGACAAAGGTCAGCAACTGCAACCTCCCTTCCTTCCTTAAACATGTTTGCTGATTATTATTCTCAGTCCAAAACTGTTCTCAATGATGGCTTACAGGATTGGTTGATCAAGGCTCAGTTTTTGATTACTGAAGAGAGAAGCACTTCGTATGAAATATCAGATCCTTTGACCTACTCATCATGGATGCACCTCGCATCATTAAAGGAGAAAGCCCACTCTACTTCTGAGCTTTCCGCTTGTCAATGGGCATGCTTGAGTAACTCTCCACAACTGGCGCAGCGTTTAATTATTAAGGCAGCTAAATGTCTTACGCTGCTGGAACATAACGTCTCTCAAGACAAAGGGAAAACGTCATGTTTTGATGGACTTTGTAATGTGGTTTTGGCCAGTTCCAGCGATATCCTGTCTAAACTGTCACGAGTAGATGCTTTGCAGTTCTATTACTGCTTGGCTAAAACTCTGTGGTTATCATGCAGTGGAACAAAAGAAAATGAAAAAGATGGTAAAATTAAAGCAATCGCAATGTTGGTATCTGCTCTGAAACAAACATTATTTCAAAAAGTGGATTGTAGTATGTTAAAAACTGCAACTCAGTGTAATTTGGAAGCTGAAGTGGCTCTGTGTCTCTTCAAGTGGTTGGAATCGCCGTCCGGTCCCGATAATGTCCCATGGACTAAAAGGATATGTCAAGATTTGACAAGTTCAAATATGTCTGAACAAAAGGTATTTAGAACAGTACTTAATTTTCACTTTTTGTGCTGTGTTATATTGTTTAGTTAATTCACCAGTGAATTCTAAGCTCCTTAGTGTTTTGACCCTTCATTGTTCACAATAGACTGTTATAAATTTTCTACTGTAGACCATTCTTATGAACTGAGTTAAATAAAGTCATCAAATGAAATTGATAATTTATAAGAAAAAATGAAGGCTAAGGTTGGTGTTTTTGGTGTTGGGTTCTCTGGGCTAGTCGCTAAAAATCCCGATACCACTGAAAACAAACCTATAAGGTCAGTGCTATACTGCAGCATAGTGGGAAGCATTCATTTTTGAAGTCAGTTTTCATGTGTAAGGTGATAGTATATCCTCTCGAGAAATCATATCGAAAAGTAAACTTTTAAATCTGGGAGATAAAAAGGTGATGAAGTCATAGGATTTCAACCACATGTAGGTTGAACTATTCGTTAGTCCTGTTGTTTGCTAACAACAGCCACACATGCTGGAATCAATGATTTGTTCATACATATAGCTGTCTAGAATGTATTTTAGATCTGATATGCTGCCACTACACTCTAGAGATCTGTGTCTAGTAGTAACACAATATTCTTGATAACTATTGTCGAATTTTCCTAGCATAAGCATTGAAAAACGGAAACAAATAAGCAAATGACAGACAATTTACTACCCATCCTGACCAATTAGTGAATTGGTTCGATTTTATGAAATAACTTTTGAACATTAACTATTTTAAAGGAATCTTAAGACGCCAAACTTTCGTGCATGATTTGATAATTTCATTGTTAAAGATTAATTCTGGTTAGAATAGGCTTTTGTAGAGTGAGGATTACATTTGAGTAAGTACCCAGTTGGTCAGTAGACTAATTAGAAGTTATCTACTCAGAACGCGGCTATGGATTAGACTTATTGTATGACGGCCGATTGTACCACCCAGTTACTCAAGCTGGTATATGTGGAGCGAGATTCAAATCGGGGACCCATTGGCTACAAGTCGAGTGCTTAAGCGAATAAGCCACTGATCCTTTGTTTATGGACGTTTTAATTGTTGGTGTTGCCACTTCCCGGACACGCATAGTTTTCCTCATAACCTTTAAAGTCGTAAATTCTAATAAATTGCTATTATGAGATTTTCATTTAACGCACAACAGAAGCTCTAACTAATTCCGTTAATTTTGGTTTAGTTTTGTTAGATCAATTTCACTCCTTTAAATTTCAAGTATAACCTAACCATTTTTCTCTCGATAACTGAATTAATAGCCAAGTTTTACTTCATTGAATTTAGCCATATTTATGATCTGAATAGGTATTAATAAGAATGCCTAGCTTAATGACTTTCAGTTGTTGCAGTCACCCTTTTTGGTATTGTGACAGCGATGTATATTCTACTATGGTGGAATCACTGCACAGTTTTACTATTTCGATTTATTTTGTGCTACAGTATACTTTACGTATATTCATTTTTTTCACTACTATATTTCCAATTTTTCTCACTACTTTGGTTTGATTGCTGAAGTTCGTTTAATTTCTCTTGATTTCTAGTCGCAAAGACTGTTAGCCATTGCATCAGACCTCGATATGTTCAGTCGTTTTGCTGATGTTTCTTGGCCTAGTGGCATTCCCGGTGTCAACGAGTGTGTTCAACCTACTACAACATATCCTCTCTCAGCGTCCACGTGGCCTAACCGCCTATTAATGATGGCTACTCATCTAAATGCAAATGGTTTATCTGCATCTGTTTGGCTAGAGATGGCAAATTGGTGCTATGCTCGAGGTTGTAAAAAAGTAAGTAAAATACCACTTTCATAAAGTCTCCAATTATTTTTGGTTGAATACTTTTCAATGATCGCAAACGGATAAATATAGTGTCAATGTTTTCGATTGATTCTTTGGAATCTTGATTGAAGTCGAAGAGGTATAGAAATGACCGATGAAGCTTTCATAATTTACTATTAAACATTTCAAAGTGAATGTGTTCATCTGCTGTCCTGTTAACGAAAATTTACCATCTATAAAGTTGTATTGTTAATTTTTTTTATATAGATTTGTATTCGTATTTTTCTCTGTTCCTATTGACAGATTGATGAGTTTCAGTCAGCTGCAAGAACGTATATTAAGGATCTCAGCGAAATGTCTCCAAGTCATCCTGCTGTCCCTGTCCTGTTGAAATTAGTGGATTCAACAGAATATCCCGTATTAACTATGTTAACTGAAAAACTATGCATCTCATCACGAGAAAACACAAACAATGATGAGAAATCAGATTCATCTATACCAGCACTAATCAGTGCTTTAGCTACCTTTTTAGCTACTGAGGCTTGTAATGAAGATGAAATGGAGGGTTGCAAACATCACAACACATTAAATATTCATCTACATCAATTTTCTCTTCATTGTCCTGATGATCAGTTAGATGGACAGGTTAGATTAACTATTTTCAGTTTATTACTAAATAAACAAAATTTTTTGTTGTAGAGGAATGATAATTAAATGTTAATTAATTGCATTATTCGGATTAGTGCCATCTTTGCATTTACTTTCTATTTAAACTACATACGACTATTGCACGTAGTAAAAAATTGATTGGCTTCAATTACTATACAGTCACCACCTTATGCAAGTTGTTCTATGTGACCTAAAATCTGGTGCGCATAGAGACTTGGATTTTAGTATCGCTATCGGTGATCTACTGTTCGTTAGTTATCGAACGCAGTTTTAACAAAACGGAGAAATTAGCCACTGGTCAACTCTTTAGTTTCTTTTATGGCCAGTAGATAAAATTATTGGGAATTTTCGAACACTGATCTTTACCATAAACATTTCCAACTTGAATGGAGCATAATATATTGAAGAAAACAAGCATAGTGTGAGAGAATGACTTTTATTAGCTAATAAAAATACGCCTTAGCGTCATGGTACTTCAATAAATTCAGTTTTCGGCACTCCAGCATGTCTTCTTATACTTACCGTAATTGTCGTATATAATTACACTCACCAGTATGCATTTTCCTTCCCTGATTTCATTTTCCCTGACAGTCTATTGTTCCTGACGCTTCCAGACTTCATTTTTTTATTCCTTTACGTTCCCAGTGGAACAGGGCTCCTTGCTAGAGGCTCAGGGTTTCGGTAGCTATGTACTATTTATATACACCTCATAAGTGGTTTTAATCAAAACATTTTGTGTTTATGACTTCAAGGTTACCTATATAAGATTATCAGCGTATATCTCGTCATGATGCTTTTGTACAATCTTTTCTGCTTATTATCCTTGCAGATACAAGAAAAGTTCTCTTCACATTTAGTCAGCATTCTTCCGCAGTTGAAGAAGTCAAGCCTGACTTCAGATTTAATCCAACTTCTGCACCAACTATTAGTTTCAATAACAGAACGTCAACATGCCTTGCATATGTCAGCAGCACAAGCTTATGCCACATTTCTTACTATAGTGGATCAGTCTGGTGTACCTGAAAATTCGCTCTTCTATAAGCCAATCACCAAATTAGATATCACAACAAGTAAGTTTAAATAGATGCATAATTCACATTTTGCAAAACAACAGGGACAGCTCATTTAATATCTAGTTTATCTCAGATCCAAAAACAGTGAACCTATTCGAACTATTCTTTTGCTGAGGGTGTTTCACTTACAAAAGTAACGAGTGGAAGTATTTCTAGATAGAGGATAAACGAATGATAGTCTTAACAGAATATTAACAGAACAGATATTTGTGAAACGAGATTGATATTATACTCTTAGGTATTTTTAATCAACTGCTTGAACTGTAACAGGGTATGGCGTCAAAGTACTGTTGATAAAGTAGCACAGCCTTTTACAAACAAGAATCCAAAAAATGTCAGTAATCTTAGATTATTTAAAGCTTCATATTACTTAATCACCGAAATCATTTACAGCTTTTGCAGTTTATAAAATGTGTAAACATTTCTTTTAATCGAACGTATTTGTGTCTTTTTAATTTAGCTACTTTGAAATTTCTGGATTTGTTGTGCTCTCCGTCTCGTAAGCTCAGAGGCATGATTTCTGGTTTCCTAGATCAAGCCAATCCAGTACTACAGGAATTCTATCAAAGTCATTCTTTGAGTGTAGATAAGAGTGAACTTAAACAGACAAAAACAATTACATCCAGTTTAACACTAGGTGGTCCAACAATCTGGGGCACCTGTTTACCTCAAGTTCTGATTCAGTTAGGTTTACCGGATGGCATGATTCGAAACTGTTTAGTTGCACTACTGAACCGACTTATCGTTATTGATATTGACAATGTTAGTTCCAAATGGAGTTCTCCGTCTTACCGTCTAGCAGCCCAACTTGTTTTTCCGGCTGTAGTTGCTGCTTCAAATCCTGTTACCACAAATACTGGACAAAAAAGTATGATTCTAGGAAAAAGTATTTTATATTTTATATGTCATATATTCATATAGCTGCTGTTTGCATTTGTTTGGTTAGCTTTGTTTACATGTTACTTTTATGTCATAATCTTATACTAGAAATCTCACAGTATCAGTTTTACTTTTAAAAGTCAAAAGTGGATGAACTTGCACTCGAGGTTAGACGTCGAGTACTAGGTAAGGAGGGAAAGTCGATACACGAGGTTAGGACATGTGTTACGCATGCCTAGTCATCGCCTTCCTCGACGGGCAATGTTAGCTGACATAGGGTCAGGTTGGAAAAGAGCCAGTGGTGGTCAAACCAAAACACGGCCTCATCAGTCAATGAAATCCACAACAGTGAAACAGTATTATTTACTGGATGACGTTTCGAACAAAATTTATTGTTCATAATCATATCAATTGTAATCACACGACTTTGACACTTGAGTTTTATAGTTTTCTTTGTTTTCTCCAATTTGTCGTATGGGTAGTAGAATTTTCCAGATATCGGGGACAGGTGATGAATCATTCCTATTACATGTATTTGTAGTTGATTCGATAAACAAAGCTTCTGTTATCAATCTCTCCCTATACCCTGTGACATTAGATTTTAAAACTTTCATCCTATCCCATCCAGCCTATTGTGTGGTTGTGTGTAACTGCGTGTAGTGCTATAGCTGAACTATTCTCTAGATTTCTTATCTTATTTGGATCAACCAATCTAGATTTTGCTAAGTTTTTATGTTCAGCTAGTCTAACTGCCCCTGTTCTACTAGTTTGACCTATGTATTTGACCTGACAATCATTGCAGGTAGGGTATTAGATAAACTAAATTGTTTTGTTTTAAAGGCTCCACAGGATCCTTTAGCCGATAAAGTTTGTTTCTAATTGAGTTTGTGGTTGGTTTGAATGCCGTTTTTATTCCTGCCTTGTTAAGAATTCTGCGTAAGTCTTCCGAGGTTCCTTCCTTGTATGGAATTACTACTGGTGATTTAGATTCCTTATTATTGGTGTCGTCATTAATATTATTATTATTACCACTATTATTATTATTGTTATTATCACTATCGCTACTATCATTATTTATTTTATTTTTACATTTCCTTACATATTTCTTGACTAATTTATCCGGGTAATTATTAAGTTTCAAAGCTTCTTTTATGTGTATCAGTTCCTGTTTTAGATTTTCTTTGGTACTACTTAGTTTTTGTGCTCTGTCATTTAAACATTTCACCAATCCTATTTTTACTGACATTGCTTCAACCTTCGAGTTGATGTGTTCGAAAAACCTATCTATATCTTGTGTTTTAAGTACAGTGAATGTGTCATTTACATTTATAAGAGTTTTAACAGAATCAATCTGATTAAGAGCATGTCTTTTTAAATTCTTAGGATTAGGATAAATCCTCATTCGTCTTAACGACTTCCAATATAGTTTGGGATAGCGTTCGGTTTCTACACATTCTTTGAAAAATTCCAACGATGTTTTCGCTTCAGCGAGCCTTGCACTAAACCTCAGGTACTCATTGAGTGCCTTCAATGCAATAGGATCCCCACGAGATTTCAATATATTAAATATTCCCATAGTAAAATTAGAACAACACATTTAAGCGAACAATATTGTTTTCAATTAGATCTCATCAGGCTTAACTCTAATATATATAAGCTTACAAATAAAATTCAAATATAAACCAATCATGGTGTTTTGTCTATAGGATGATACGATGGTGAATATAAATTGTGTAATTAGTCACAATAGTAGTAATGATAATAATAATTATAGTAATAATAGAAATGGTCTTATCAATAATAAGGATGAAAAAGTGAGGCAATCTGTGATAACACGAATAATGAAAAACAGCATGATTAAACAAACAAACAACTGTTCAGGTGGAAGTAGTCGATAAAGGCTAGTAAAAACAAATGAATCAAATAAGTAATGTTAGATTGTAAGGGAAGGAAATGAAACACGTTTATAATGAAGATGTGATAAGATTAAGGGATGATAAGAAAGGGGATGAAAATACAAACAAAGGGTGGTGTAGAAGTTATTGGTTGGTTACGTCTTAATAGGCCAAGGGAGGGATAAAGGCTGTACGAACTTTTTTGAATACATAATTTAGGTTTAATAGTTAGAATGCCTATTGCCTCAGCTGTGTGTAGTAGACGAATACGAAGTCTATTGGAAAGATTCGGTGGGATACGATGAATCACTTTGAAGGCTCTCGTTTCTCAATTACATGACCACTATCAATTAAGTGTGACAAAATTGAGCTACGGATTGTTTTTGTCTGTCCTTTGCCAAACCACCATGGGAGATGTTCACTAACACGTTGGCTAAGCTGTCTAGTAGTACGCCCAATATAACTGTCACCGCAGGTGCAGTTGAATTGATAAATACACATAGATGTGGCAAAACTATCAAGCTTACCCTTCGTTTGCGTCCCAATCATTCGTTGGCTAGAGAATGACAAACATAGGTGTGCTGCATAAAATGTTCTTCGTATACTCCTTGAAAGACGTTGTTGGTGTTGTCTTGCGCATGTTTGACATGCATGTAATCATTAATATTACTATTGTTACTATTATTATTATAACTATCACTATTAGATTGCAGAGTGAAAACGAAAGAAGATGGGAAGTTAAACACTAGTGTTTACAGGAAACCCACACATTCAAACAGGTATTTGGACCTCCGATCATCCCATCCTATGTCAGTAAAAATAGGATTGGCGAAATGTTTAAATGACAGAGCACAAAAACTAAGTAGTACCAAAAAAATCTAAAACAGGAACTGATATACACAAAAGAAGCCTTGAAACTTAATAATTACCCGGATAAACTAGTCAGGAAATATGTAAGGAAATGTAAACATAAAATAAATAATGATAGTAGCGATAGTGATAATAACAATAATAATAATATTAATGACGACACCACTAATAAGGAATCTAAATCATCAGTAGTAATTCCATATAAGGAAGGAACCTCGGAAGCCTACGCAGAATTCTTAACAAGGCAGGAATAAAAACGGCATTCAAACCAACCACAAACTCAATTAGAAACAAACTTTATCGGCTAAAGGATCCTGTGGAGCCTTTAAAACAAAACAATTTAGTTTATCTAATACCCTACCTGCAATGATTGTCAGGTCAAATACATAGGTCAAACTAGTAGGACAAGGGCAGTCAGACTAGCTGAACATAAAAACTTAGCAAAATCTAGATTGGTTGATCCAAATAAGATAAGAAATCCAGAGAATAGTTCAGCTATAGCACTACATGCAGTTACACACAACCATACAATAGGCTGGATGGGATAGGATGACAGTTTTAAAATCTAATGTCACAGGGTATAGGGAGAGATTGATAACAGAAGCTTTGTTTATTGAATCAACTGCAAATACATGTAATAGGAATGATTCATCACCTTTCCCCGATATCTGGAAAATTCTACTCCCCCTACGACAAATTGGAGAAAACAAAGAAAGCTATAAAACTCAAGTGTCAAAGTCGTGTGATTACAATTGATATGATTATGAACAATAAATTTTGTTCGAAACGGCATCCAGTAAATAATACTGTTTCACTGTGTGATATATCTAATAAACAAACTAATATGGAATTACTTACTACCACAGTGCCCAAGTTTTACACACATATGAAATCCACAACATTTAGTCAAAGGCACGTAGGAGGATGTAGACTTCCTGGTTGAGGTCTTCGGGACGGTAAACGCCAATGGCTGGAAACGATCGGTGACGTGGTTCAAAATCGTTATCAATGGCGCAACTGCATCCACTCTTTGTGACTTATAATATCCAATAAAACTATATTGTTCTTCGATATTACTATTCTTTCAGCTTCGTATCTCTGTTTACTTTCTCTATTTCGCATTTTCTTTTACTTTCTTCTCTGGCTTTGTGTGTTGAGTGAAGTGTGGCGACTCGAACTGATGCACATCGGTGCAAAGTTCTATGTTGAAGTCAGTCAGTCAGTCAGAATTTGCATAATTCGACGTCATTTTCTTATTGAAGATAAGTAACAGTACAAATTAAGCGCATTACAGTCTATCTGTTTGGTGCAAATGAGCCAGACATATTCGATGTGATGATATTAAGCTCAAGGAAGATGATTTATCACCTCTTATTTTATTTTATTGTAGATCTGTTACCAGATGTAACTCTAGCTGAATTCGACACCTTAAAAATAGAATTAGTATCAGGGAAACTTATTGTTGACTTACAATATATAATTTTTTTTTAAAATTGTAAAGTGATAAAACGCAGTCCTTTGAACACAGCATAAATTTGCGACATTCCTAGCACTGGCGTTAACTCCCTAATTGATTGGTCTCCTAATGTCATCACAGCAATTTTGTTCATTCTTTTCAATATTTTTTAGGCAATTCTCCTTATTTTACAAACAGTCCTGATCATACAAGTTCTGTAAGTGTATCTATCTTGAAGTCAAAAGTCGATCCATCTCATTCATTTTCACAAATAGTAGCAGCTTTGAGAAATTCAGGTTTAGGCGATCTTGTTGAACGTGTAGAAATTTTTACCTATGAACTACAGCGTATTACTGTTCTGTGGGAAGAATTATGGCTGGGTTCATTAGTACAGCATTTGGATGAACTGTCAAAAAAGGTAATTATTATTATTATCATTATTATTGCAGTAAATACCCCCAATGACTGCTATTTTCTTTTTGTAATTTTTGCTACTTTTATGCATCGCTTACCCATTAAGATAATCCTAATGCTTAGAATGACATGTAAATCTATGCTCATGTAAACAGTCTAAATTGTTGCCACTATACTTTAATTCACGTATTCCCTAAAAATTCAGTCATCAGAGTGATTGTGTTTTCTAGTCATTGAATATATTTCATTGTATTGGCGAAGCTCTCTTCGTCCTTTCAGACAACATTTTCAGCTAAGATTTCAAAATAAAGTGAAATTATTTGATTTTTGTGTGAATTACATAATTATTCCTCTGGACGACCTTGGTTGCTGTCAGTCGTTAATTTACACTGGCATCAATCCTTTTGTTGACTTGGGATTTGGATTTTTTGTCTTGTCATTTTGGGTACTTCCTTTGTCTAAGATTCGTATATTTCCTCGGTCGAATTGATGTTCTAAGTTGTCAGTGTACGTATCATGGACTGGATATTATGTCTTTTGACAGCTATTTTATTTTCGTGGACACCAAAATGAAAAGAACGTCCAACTTGAACAATATAATGTTTTTCACAGATGTTTCACTTTATGTTGTAGATGATATTGGTTTTGTGTCCTTTCATTGTTTCATCTTTTGGTTAACATAGTATACATTAATCTGATTTTGTCGGTTTGTGGACGACAGCTATTTTAAAAGGTTTCAACAGTCTTGCAGTGATTTCAGCGATGTTCTTCATATGTAGTAGGACGATTTTCTTTGTTCTATCATGCGATGATTTTGAGTTGGTCAGTTAGGTTGGGGGTAGGTATCTTTTGATAAAGTCTTATTGATATCCACTTTTTTGGAAGAAAGTCCCAAGATATTTTTCCTCTACTCTCTTCAAGGTCGGATGGCTGCAGTGTATCCTAGCCTCTTAAACTTTTCGTACTGTTGGTTTGTTGTTGTTGTTGCAACTTATTATTTGACGTGTACACTTAGTTTCATAATTTTCTCTTGGTTGTTCGCTTGACTTAGACGTCTAAAAATTGTATTATGTTTTTGGATGTTTCTTCTCTTTTAAGTTCGATGTCGTCGTAGACTTAGTTTTGTCCAAGAATCCTCATAAAATTATTGTGATCGTATTATTTTCATGCATAATTGTCTGTATCACAAATATGTTGTTCTCAAAAATTTATTAACCTCCAAATTATGTTCAGTTCACTAAGGATCATCATGTACTAATTTTCGAAAGCTTGAATGAATTACTCAGACACTAAATTTGGCATTGCGTGATTTCTGTACAGTAGTTGATGGATAACTGCAGAGTCGACTGCACTACAAGTTCTTTATTCTAAAAACAAGATATGTTTTTTCTCACTATCTCAGAACACTTATTTTACTATTTCAATAATTTGTAGATAAACATTTTGGAGTCGGAACTGAAACGCACTGAACAATCAGATGCATACAAAAGTGCCAGCTATTTGACGGCATTATCTAAGCATGTATCCGATGGACTTCTCTCAGATGAAAACGAAAACGCAGTTTCACAATCAAGTGATGTAACCACGGATGATACCGTTGCTTCATTGTCAGTGTATGATACTGAAGATAAGCTGGTGACACATGAAGAGTTTTCAGAGGCTGTTGTTCTAGCGAAGTATATTGCTACACTTCAACCGACTCTTGATTTGATATCACAGCTGAATGCTTTAACCATGCTCGTGAAACCTGAAACTCCCCATGAAGAATGGTTCCAAAAGACCTTTGGGCATGTAAGATAAGATTTTTGTTTCTGTATTTCATACACTACGAATTTTGTGCATCTAAAGTTTATTCACTTGCGTAAAAACTTGGAAAAGTTAGATTTAAATGTTTTCCTTGCCGGAAGATGTGTAAACTGTGTACACCTATCTATCCTAACTCGGTAACCTAATGAATATCATTGTACGATGAATTGTAGCCTTCAATCTTCCTGATGGCATTAGACTTATCATAATCATGTTACCGAATAAGATTTTATATATGTCAGATTCTAGTAATTCTTTAGCTTTCCAGAATAATATACATGTACAAGTCAATTACCAGCTATCAGTTAATATTCACTAAGCTGTCACCCACAGGTTTGTGTTGTTAACGAACTATCATAGTAGATTAAACTAGCGTTTACAGATGGTAGCGATTGTTCAATAGTCTAGTGTTCGAACCATTTAGTTATTCTCTATTTGATTGGCTGTGTTGGTAAGATTGTTAGACACACGTACTTTGTGTGTGTTCATGTTAATAGTTTTATATTTGGTTAATTCGTCTTTATCATACTGTCACTTTGTTACCACACAAATGATAATTACAGTTTCCGCTAACATACATACCGCAATGCTACATGATGTTTGCAGTTGCCTGTAAAATGTAAGATGATGTTACAGGATTGGACTACACCGATCCCTAGATTAGAAATAGGAAGTGAAGTGGTAGAGCGCGTTGACCGCTTCACTTACTCGGGAAGTACCATTAGCTCCAACGGGTTGATCTCTGACTAAATCTCAGAACGGATACAGAGAGCTAGTTTCGCATATGCCAGTTTACGCCGTCTCTGGCGTAGACGTGATATCCGACTATCGACCAAAGGGTGTGTGTACTGCTCAACAGTCCGCTCCGTCCTCCTTTATGACTGCGAGACCTGGCCATTGAGAGCAGAAGACATGAAAAGATTAGCTGTCTTTGATCATAGGTGTCTGCGTTCTATCTCCCGTGTGAAGTGGTATAATAAGGTGAGCAATATTGAGGTTAGGCGCTGAGTGTTAGATAAGGCGGGGAAATCAGTCGACGAGGCTGTGAAATTACTTCGACTGAGATGGTTAGGACATGTGTTACGTATGCCTAGTCATCGCCTTCCTCGACAATGGGCAATGTTAGTCAGCTGACATAGGGTCAGGCTGGAAAAGAGCTAGCGGCGGTCAAACCGAAACATGGCACCAGTCAATGAAATCGGAAACAGTTAGTCTAAGCCACGTAGGAAGATGTAGACTTCCTGGTTGGGGTCCTCGGGACGGTAAAAACCAATGGTTGGAAACAATTGGTGACATGGCTCAAAATCGTTCTCAATGGCGCAGATGCATCCACTCCTTGTGACTTATGATTTCCAATGAAACTGTTTTGTTCTTCTTTATTACCATTCCTTTGTCTCACACCTCTGTTTACCCTCTCTCTCGCTCTACTTTCTTCTCTTGCTTTGTGTGCTACAGGGAGGGAGTGTGGCGACTTGAACTGCCGCACAAATGTGCAAAGTTCTATGTCGAAAACAGACAGACAGACAGGAGCTGCCACACCTCATATTTGCACTTCATTCATACTTGCTAACAGTACCGGATACTGAGTCTTTTGGTAACTACTTTAGTATGATTCATATATATATTTACATATATATATATATATATATATATATATATATATATATATATTGTCACATCATATACATATGTATATCATAATACAATATAATACTAGTAATAAAGTGATTTTATTCTTATAATATTCTAGGCGATTAACGAACTACAAGAAACCCTGTCACATCCGGCAGATCCTAAAGATGTGAAAGAACCTATTTTAATTATTCGTCGGCTCATCCAGCAGCTTCAAACATCACATCAATCAACATTTTCTCAAATTCATACTGTCTTTCGTGGGGGAGGAGTCCCGGATGCTGATATTAAAGTATCAAATAACAATATTGCTTACTTACATCTTTGTCAGCTCAGTCCTCGACTTTCAAACATGCATTTCGAAAACTGTATGATTTCATCAGATAAACTAACCTGCGGCATCCCACTGCCTGGCCATTATGGAATAGAAGCATCTCATTTGGGTAATAGCATTACTATTCTTCCAACGAAAACGCGTCCCAAGCGTTTACTACTTAGAGCACAGAACGGTCGTACGTACCCTTATCTTTTAAAAGGTTTAGAAGATTTACGCCTTGACGACCGTATAATGCGTTTGTTTGAGATTACAAATCTTGCTGCAGTTCAGTTGTCATCACACGGTTCTGGTTATTGTGAAAACATGTTGGCTCGAACTTATTCTGTTACTCCCTTAGGTGTACGCTCTGGTCTTTTGCAGATGGTACAGGGCGCTGTTCCTCTTTACAGTCTCTATAAAAAGTGGCAAATAAGAACTAATAAGCTATCATCTAATAATTCTTACGTGTCTTCAACAGCTGCAATTCCAAGACCTGGTGAATTGTTCCATGCTCGCCTGAAAGAATTGCTGCATGCATCCGGTCAGCAATATCAGTCCCAGTCTCGCTCACACTGGCCTTTGGAGACGTTACGAGAAGTCCTCACTTCTTTGGAAGCCGAAACGCCAGCAGACTTGTTAACTCGTGAGTTGTGGGCTTCTAATTCGTCATGTGCTAGTTGGTGGAGGGTTTCACGTGCGTTTGCTAAATCGGCTGGATTGCTTAGCAGTCTAGGATATTTAGTTGGTCTTGGTGACCGGCATCTCGATAACCTTCTCATCGATTTATCAACTGGACATATCGTGCACATCGATTGCAATGTATGCTTTGACAAGGGTAAAAGTTTGAAGGTGGCTGAAAGAGTTCCGTTTCGGTTGACAAGGATTTTGAGACATGCACTTGGACCTGCAGCCCAAGATAAATCAGTACGGGGATCTTTCCGGTTTTCAGCAGAGAATGGTTTACAAGCTGCTCGTCACATAGTGGATCCTTTACTAATGCAACTCAAGGCCTTTTTGATAGACCCGTTAGTCGACTGGCAGAATAAGAAACATTCCACTAATAATTCTCAAGTTGTGACTGATTTTATTCACTTGTCTGCCTTTCATGGTGGAGGGAGCACCAGCTCTAGGCATTACCACTCATTGTCAACTAACCGACGGCTGCGACGTGTTGATTCAGAACTTCGTATGTATTCAGGTCTACTCACCTTACGACTTGTTGAACTTAGCCACAGTTCATGTTTGGATTCAGTATTTTCTGTTCTGGACTCCCTTATTTCGCGCTTAGCTGTGTGGACAGAACTAACAAAGGCTCGTCAGCATGCATCACTTCTGAATGATCGTTACATAACTTTGCAAAATGCTTCTCGTGATGATTTATTATCTTCTGAGCGTCACTGTCAACAAGTGGAGCAGAGTGAGCGAAAAGTTGAAAAATTGTATGAAAAACTTTCTACGCAAAATAATTTTTGGATGGCTGAAATCTTATCACACTTTCAGAATTTTAGTCTGCTAACTGATCCCGAATGGTTGCCACCTTTACTAGAATCTAATAAGGTGTCGGGTTCTCCACTCGTCACTGCTTTATCAAACTATCACTCAGTTGCTCGAATTTATCTTGGGAATTCGGAGTTTACGCATTCAATGGCTTTATGGTTAAAGGAAATAAAGCAGTTCCACTCACAAATGGAAAGTTTAATTCAGTCATCACACAGTGACATTGACTCTCTAGTGACTTTCATCTCATCGAACACACCGCAGTTTAGTAGTCACTTTGATTCAAAACTAGCTTCTTTACTGGAACAAGCAACCAAAAACAGTTTTGATGATTTATGTGAATTACGCAAACTTAAAGATGAAAATATAAGTACGTATCGTGGTTATTTGAATTCGGATAGCGTTACCCATGAAGTCGATAATTTGAATTTATTCATCTGTGATCAAGGTGCTGCTGGAGTAACTGCCTACAGCTGGGCCTTATTGGACTATGTTTTGAGTATCGCAAGCAATTCACTTGCTCTTGAGGTCGAGTTTAAGGAATGGAGTGAAACCAGTAGCTGCCAAAGTGTTAGAAGTAACTTAAAAGCTCTTCCGCTAGATCCACTCAATACCTATGCAGACTGCTTAGTAAATTTATTCACCGTTCTTGGTCACCAGCCTACTGGCGTATGGAACTTCAGTGCCGGTTATGAAGCAGACGTAAGAAGAGAACTATCGTTTCTTTTAGCTGTCAAAGATTCCGTTTCTTGTATAAGTCAGTTGCATGCTAATCTAACAAGACTACTCGTTCCTGAAGCCATGACGACCCTTATAACAGCAAAAGTTCCCATGGTGAGCGATTTCTGCAGGTTCGTTATGCGTCACATAAACGAGTCAGATACAAGTAATCTCAAAAAACTCGTAGATGATTTCATTCTAAAAGATCCAGTCCCAGATAACCAAGGTGATTTGCAAGTGCATCATGTTCTTGTTGCCGTTCATCTTGCTCTCACAAACGCCACTGCTCAAATGGAGGAGATAGCTGAACGAGTTCGTTCATGTACCATTACAGCCTTGGCATGGTACTATGTTGATATTATTTCTCAAGTTACCAATGTTCTTGTGCCAAAGAGTTTAAAAGGTGCGACATCTTTGTGGAAATGGGAGTTTAGTAGATCGAACCGACTATCAGGAGGAGTTACGCCCTGTTCATGGACTGACGAAATATATACTTCTGGGATGATGGCATTTGTTTCCATACTTGAGGATGGACTAATCCACTGGCATGCAATACATCATGGTTCTGTAACTAAGGTCAGCGATTTGAATTTACAACCGTTCAATGATCCAATAAATTCTTTCATTGGTCGTTTGTCATCCCGTATTGCACTAGCAAGCATGGTTGGATTAGCATCCGGCCGTCTTTTCTGTGCACTTGTAGAAAATACAGGACTATCTATTCGCAGGCTGCTAGCTGAAAATGAGCCACCAAATAATGCAGGCGGTATGCCAGATGTGTTAAGCTTATCTGCAGAAAAGATAATTGAAAGTGTTCATGTACACATGTCACTTACTCAGCCAGTCAGTGTGCAGCATCTCAGGGGCCCCGCAGCTAACCTTATTCATCGGCTCGTTACTCGTTCAGGTCAAGAAAGTCAGTTTTCAGTTGATGTGGCCACACTCGAAGCAACAGAACAACATTACAAACATCTTCGTTTGTTCATGTCAGCTTACAATTGGAGGCATATGACGCAAGAAGATGAGAAGTCGGCGCTTTACCAACATGATCCATGCGTTTCTTTAGCAAATGTTCTTGATTCAATTAGAGATGCCGCAAAATCAGAAATTGTATCCACTGAAGGGGTGTCCGGAGTTTCGGTGGATTCAATCGCTTTCTCTATTTGTTACATTGAAACATGTAGAGTCAAGTATGTTTATTTTTTCCTTTGAATTACATTGCTTTACGTTTTTCTGAGATTTACCTCTGGGTGAAATTAAATATACGAAAATCGATTCGTGCAACATACTGCTAAAGCCTGTTCCGCATTTTCCATTTTAGTATAGTTAACAGTATAGATTCCTTTATACTTTTGTATAATTTTTGTCATCATGCTCAAAAAAATAAGTGTGGTTTTTGCATAATCATCTAAATGGATGTCTCGTATATGGACGTTGTAATGTACAATAAATTTCACACGCACATATTTTGCGTGTTACGTCTCAATCAATGTAAATTAGTCTATTTTTGAAATATACCTTAGTCGCTATTCTCCTAAGTTAGTACTACGTGTATGTACTCATCTAACTATTGTAGTGCTAAATGTATTTTTTATGAATCTACATAAATGACTCATAAGAAACTGAGACAGTTGGTCAGACTCATGAATGTCTTCTGAGAATGGAGATTCTAATAGATAGTCGGAAAAGTATTTTTTGACACAAAACTGTCAACTTACACTGCTCCAGTGAGCGTTCTGTTTCTAGAATATATTGACTGATTTTCTTAGAATATTCAATAACTATCTAGAACTAACTCAACTCAGGTTTACAGTATGTTTAAACTGTATATTTATTTGACGCAGGAAAACGTGGTGTCTTTAGTGTATAAAAATATATCACACTCAAATCATCAATTGGAGCAAAGCCAGACAGGTTTTCTAACTCACTTTAAGTAGTCTTCTGTTTATTTCAAGCATTCAATTTAATATAGTATTCATAAATTTCAACTTTCGCTTTTCAGCGGTCTTAGCAAATGTCCTTCATTCTTAAAATGCATGGATTTGGTCAGTGAACTAAAGCAAACAAAAGAACAGAAAGAAAAACTTACATTGGAGTTTAGTGAATTGGATAGGGTTGTTTGTACAATCAAGGTGGGTATTATACTTTAATAAATATATGTATGCTTTAGTTTCTTATGTATATCAATAATAAAGAGTCTCATATCAGCCGTTAAATTTAAAAATGCATAGTGATTTACCACTACAATTAATGCATATAAGCAGAACACCAGGGAAATGTTTTTCTGTATAAACATTACTCTGATAAGTGAGCATTCAGCTCATTTCAGTTCAAGTCTTAACTTGAATATGCATTGGTTTATTTTCATCAATAGTCAAAATTATTACAGTTAAAAAAAACTGACTCTTGCCTTACGTAGTTGTCATCTTAACAAAAAAAAATCTATAGATTATGTATATTTGCTAACAAAGTAAAAATAACAATTCACTTATTTCAATATCTTTTTTCAGGATGCCTATGCATTAGATTGGCCCATACTCAACTGGTTTCCTTCATCTGCATTCAATGACACAAATATGAAATCCGATTTGTTTGATCGTTTTAAAGGTGATCTTGATTCAGCTGAGTTTGCAGTCAAAAAATTACAACAGCGTCTGACGCTTATAAAACAAGAATTCATCGATATGTGTTCGAAATCGGATTTAGCGAATGAGGATAACGTTAACAATTCATCATTGCCTGTTGTAAAATCAAAACGAGCCAGTCGTAACTTACATCATTCAAAGTCAAAAATACTGTCTGTTGTACAGCCCTCAGTTTCACCATCTTTGAGTTCTGATGTCTCAACGAATTCTAAACAACTTACAATAATAACGTCATTGCGATCGCATTTGAGTACATTACAAAAAGAAAAATTGTCTGACATTCGGCAACTTGTTAAGTTTCTCAGCCGTTATGATTCTATCCGATCATCTTTATTGTCCCACAGCCAGGTGATGGACAACAAAGCATGCTCACTTGCATCAAATTGGAGCATTTGGTTAGATGACCATCAGAATTGGACTACACTGGTCTTAAATATGCTAAAGAATCTTTCAAAATTAATTATGTCATTTTCCGTATCATCGAAAAGTTCTGTTTCTGATTCAGAATCAGTCTGTGAAGGAATGGATGAGACAGAATTTGCAATGACTCTCAATCGCGAATGCGTACTTGTTAAGTATAAGCTTATAGGGGATTTGATTTTACCACTCTTGGTTGAAGTCAATGAACATGTTACTTCCAATCCATATCTATACAATTCCCTTAAAGGTTTTATGCAGATGCTCAATATGCGCTTCAAAACTATCGAGGAAACTTTCCTCAGTGAAATTAAAGAGTTAGCAATAGAAAATGTACAATCAGTAAAGACAGAAAAAGTAAAACAGGTAAGCAGTCAACTGTAGTTTTTATCTCATACTATGTATCCTATTTTTATGGGTATGAAATAACCTACATTATGGTTTTTTGCTTCACAGAAGACTGTCTCGGGAAGGTCACTGAACAGGATGGCTTTATCTGTTTGGAATCGAGTTTATGATCGTTTGCATGGATTTGATTCGTTTCTTCCTATGGCTGATGTGAATGAACCGATGTCAATATACGCTCAAATCGATGCATGCATTCGTCAAGCCACTGATGTTGATAATCTCGCTCTCATGTATGAAGGATGGACAGCATGGGTGTGAAATTTGTTCAAGTAAAGTAGAAATCTGCATTGGTTTTGTCTGTCGATTGACTTCTAATCCTGCGATCTCAATGGTCCATTGGTGAATGGATGGATCGAGTAGATACCTCTAGGTAGCTTGAGGAAATCCTGTCCATAATATCCATCATCTATACGTAAGAACATTGTCGACATGCCAGTTTCTTTTGATGAATTGATGGTAAGTTACATTTTCAGGTGCTGTTTTTGTTTTTTATTTCTTGAGTGCAGTTTTTTTAAAATAATAACTTAGGCAGCATATGTCAGTCTTCGGATTATGTTCTTCAGCATCTCTCAGTTGATTTCCTTGTTCATCTATTGTGAAAGCTTCAAAATCGGACGGATTGTATTTTTTATGTAGGTGGCATCTCATTATGTGATAATCCTCAGGGCAGTTATAGTATACTGGCAATTTTTGGAGTAATCGGTCACTGAATTTTTTAAAGCCAACTCGGTGCACGGAAAAATTATTCATAACCCAGTAAATAAACCTGTTTGTGATTGTACCATTTGTACTAGAAATGACAATTTATAATGTCCAATCGTAGAACATAATCCTCGTTTTTCAAATTTAGACGTCTAACAATTCATAACCCCTTAGTTGAATATTGTATTTTCAAGCTTCATGATGTGTTAGTGTATTGCAGATTCGTTACCTTTTGACATTTTAATTACTGCTAAGGACTTATACCCTATTTACGCATCGCTCAACTTTATCTTCAAAGCACATACCGAAGGTGAATTCCTTAACTGCGCGTAAAATTAAATCTTCTCATTGTTCTTGGCTTCTATAGTCAAATACTTTTTCATAAAGTATTGTACCTGTTTAGTTATATATAACCACTATTGATAATAACACTTCTGTCCCGATCATATATTCCCCGTCTTCATTAAAATATATTAATATGATGTATTCCACAAAATCCAACTTCCTATGGATACTTTTGAATACGTGTTGTATTTGTGTACGTATTTTTTTTCGATATTTTTCAGTTCTAACAACGGATCTAAAATTGACCGTGATGTGGAGCATCATTACTAACAACTTTATCAATACATCCTAACCAAGGTCAACGTGGTTAGTATCTCAGTAAAACAGTCGTTTTTGACAACCTGTGAATTCACTGTATTGTGATTTCTGTCGCATAGCAATGCTTTTTTTATTTCCTGGATCATTGATTAATCTCCTTTTTTGTTGCTGTGATTATGTAATATTAACTTATTTCTCCTAATATTTAACTTCCTTTGTATTGTCTTCATGCATAGTTTTATCAACCTTGACGAATGGTCATTTTTTTGTCTTTTACTTCTTCATTTGGACGTACAATAGATTGTTCTATTTTACTCTATGATATTTACTCAGCTGCATATTTCGACAAGAAAAATTAACTAGGTGGTTGGAATATTGTCACTACTGTAAAATAACAGTTATATGTAAGTGTGAACTAGGAATACAAGTCGCGTGGTGATAGATAATCCATCCGTTATTTATTAGCACATTGAGAAGAAGTTATACCCGGTTGTCTACTGAAACTCACAAGTTTTCTTAGGAGTCAGTATTTGATTTATTCGAGGTCACTAGATATGTACTTTGTAACCAACTCAAATTATATGCATCGTACAAAAAATTATTACTTTTATTTACATGAAATTGGAGATACTTCTGCCACATATTATACCCTTGGTAATGCAATAGTCCAAAAATAATTCATTCATTGTGTTAATCCTCTGTGCTACATTTTTACCTAACGTTTCACCTTAGATACTGTGGAGTAGAAAGATGTATCTAGAGTGTTACAAGCTGCATCCAACGATCGCCTCTATCCAGTATCAGACGACAAAAAGCGTCGTTTTGTCGAATTTATTATTCATCACATAATGACAACTATCGCATTAGGGATGCATTCGCTGATTTGATTTCAGAAAATTCTATGTAATAATCGCAGCGAGAATTGTTTTCGATGCAAGGGCTTGCTCAAAATTCAACTAGCTACTTGGTTTTATCTGAAACCAAAGTGTATTTTCAAAGACTTCAATCGATAAAACGCGTTAATTCACTTTAAAATTCATTGTTTGACGTAAATTTTTGACTGTGAATTTTTCGCCGTAGAAAAAATAATTCACATGAATTATCAGCCTCTAAAAAGTTAATTTGCGCGTCTGCTATTGTTAATTGACATGTACAAAACCCAGGTCTTGTGGATTAATTTTTTCCTAAATAAACATTTATCATCACAATAATAGCCAGTTATGCGGCGAATACATTTTTACGTAGAATAACAGATTAGTTATAAGGTGACGAAATAAACAGTATTTGTCTGACAAACGTGCTGAGCTGAATGCAGTTACAAAATATTGTGAAATGCAAGACGATGGTAATTAGTCATAATAGATTCATATAATGTGAAGGAAAATTGACAAGCCAGTTCAATGTTGTAAAAAGTGTTAGGTGAGTAGTTAGTATATATTAGTATGCAATAGGGAGGAGATAATAAGATTATGGTGAATAGTCCATCATGAAATAACCTATAGATGGAGGCATATATTGAGAAAAGAGATAATGTCACTAATAACAAGTCAGAATAGTATAAACGGGAAATTTGATGGTACTGGGAGAATCCTAGATTGAAGGGTATAAGTTGGAGATGCACTCCTAGAGAGGAGTGGAAATTTTAATCTAGAATAACGCTTGGACTTGTTCTTTCTGAATAAAAGGTTGTGGTTTATTTGATTTTATTGCTTCAGCTACATGTAGAAGAGGTGGGCGAACTGCACGTGATAATGGTTTTGGAATGTGGTACATAACTTTGAAGGCTATGTTAACGTTGATGCGATATCTTGTATCCTCCACTAAATGTGATAGAATTGGAATTTTTATGCTTTTGTTTTCACCCTTTTTAAACCAGTCTTTAGAACGCTCGCTAACCTCGCATCACACCTTTCGGGGTTTGATCCTCGGTCCACTCACTCCTGATCCTCGTTTAGCAAGTAGTAATGTAACAACAGAAGACAAGGCTGGCAACAGATCAGTTTTATTACGATAACCAACATGTATTTATATGCATTTTACATACATTAATAGACTTCTGCCCGCAGAAAGAAGGCGGTCTTCTGATTGGTTGTTTGCACACAAACGCAGTCTTCTGCTTTCTCGTTTTCTATGTTTCTCGGAAATGCGAGCCACTTGTCTGCGAATCATATTTGTCCATGTCAAGGTCAGCTGTGATTGGTCCTTGAATCAGCCTAGATTAATTTCTACCAATCAGTGTAGATCAATGTCTACCAATTGGCTAGCAGCTTGCTCTCACCACACTCGTCCCCCCGTCAAATAGCTTCGTACGCAGGCGTTCCGACCTTCTTGGTGCTACGTTCTCTAGTTGAGGATTGTTGCTGATCGGCTTGTCCCACTGTACCCATCGTTGGAGCTGACTGGCATTAACTCGTTTCTGTTTGTCACCTCTTCGGATGGTATATACTTGACCCCGTCTTTTTGTGATTGTGTATGGTCCTTCCCACTTTGGCAGGAGTTTCCGTGAACCTGGCCCGCCTCCAACTGTATATCTCCTGTCTCTACACTTCACTTGGTCCCCGACTGCAAAGGTGATGCACCGCGTCTTTTTTTTCATCTGAGACTTCGCGACATCACTCCGCTGCTTCCGTATTACATTCTTGACGGCCTCTTTCCGCTCTGCTTTTAATTTCGTCGTACTCCACTTTTGGTGAAGGGGCCAGGTCTCGTTGTGTATCGGTAATCGTGGTTTTCTACCATACATCAGTTGAAAGGGTGACTTCTTCGTTGTTTCCTGAGTGGTAGCCCGATGCGTCAGTAAAATCAGTGGAAGCTCCGTTTCCCAGTTACCGCCCTTCGAGGCCAGCCACTCCTTCAGTGTACGGTTGTTTCTCTCCGTTAGGCCATTCGTCTGTGGATGATATGGGGTCGTTCTGATCCTCTTGATGCCCAGCTGTTGCAAACGGGAAGTAAATTCTTCACTTTCGAAACAGGGACCTTGGTCCGTCAGTATCGTCTTTGGTACGCCGTGGTCTGCAACGATGTGTTTAACTACTGCGTCTGTCACGGTCTTTGCACGTTGATCTGGGATCGCTACGGCGTCTACCCATCGTGTCGCGTGTTCCGTCATCACCAGGAGGTACTGATTACCATTAGATGTCTGCGGAAATGGACCCATAACATCTACGGACCACAAGTCACCTATCGCCGTAACTGGAATCGACTGAAGCGGTGGTCGTATGCACCGGTCGCCTTTCATTAGCTGGCACCGTGGACATCCAAGTACGTATCTTGCTACGTCTTCTCTCATACCTGGCCAGTACATGCTTTGTCTTAGGAGGTCAGTTGTTCTGGCCACGCCTGTATGTGCTAGCTGGTGACATTCTTCTATCATGTTGTGGCGCGAGGACTGAGGTATGATAGCCAGCCAGCTTCCGTCGTTCTCTCGCCAGGTCAGAGTCCCGTAGGCATTCACTCTTAGTCGATCTCTCTGTCTGAGTAGTGTGGTTAGCTCCTTACTCGCCGTAGCTTGATCTACTTCTATCCCGTTGGTTATCACCTGTATCACTGTATTCAGCGTATCATCCAACCTTTGCTTGCGTGCAAGTTTTAGTGGGTCTTGCTCTACAGCATGCACCCCGTAAGCGACCTCGGGCAACTCAGGCTCGTCTTCTGGTCTCGATAACAAATCTGCCAAGACATTTTCACTTCCAGGAACGTGTGAGATCGTAAAATCGTACTCCTGAAGACGCAACATCCACCGTGACAATTTCCCCCGTGGGTCTCTCGCTGTCTTCAAAAATTGTAGCGGCTTATGATCAGTTTCGATGTGGAACCGCCGGCCGAGTAAATAAGGTCGCCATTTGTCGACTGCCCATACCATTGCTAAACATTCTTTCTCTATCGTTGAATACTTTCTCTCTGTGAGTGTTAAAACCCGACTGGCATACTCAACGATTCCATCACCTTGTCTTAGGACCGCACCTATGGCGTAGTCACTGGCATCTGTGCACACTGTAAACTGTCTTCCAGGTACAGGTAGTTTTAGCGTCATTTGTTGGTGGTCGAACAGGTGTTTAATTCTGTCAAATGTCCTCTGCGATTCTTCCGACCAAACAAACTTCGGCTCACCTAGTAGCCTGTATAGAGGGGCTGCTATCTCATTGAAGTTCTTCACGAATCGACTATAAAACGCCGCTCTACCCAAGAATTGCCTCAATTTCCTCTTTGAATTTGGGGCCGGGATCGTCTTTATCGTTAAGATTTTCTCCGGTAGTGGTTTAATCTCACCACTTCCCACTTTATGTCCCAGAAGAGTTACATTCTTTTTGGCTATCTGAGACTTGGTTTTGTTGACGCGCAGTCCAAACTCTTCGATGCGTCGCAGCACGGCTTCCACATGGTTCACATGATCGTTTTCGTTTTGACTATATATGACGAGATCATCACCGTACACCTCAACGTTTTTCAAGTTCTTAAGTAATAGCGTCATCAGTCGTCTGAACGTGAACGGTGCACCTGCTAGTCCAAATGGCATGCGTTTAAATCGATATTGTGTCTGGCCTACGCTGAATGCCGTCTTATCTCTATCACCTGGTTTTATCGGTATCTGCCAGTACCCTGAGCGAAGATCGAAAACGGAAAACACATTCGCGCCCTGTAGGCGGTCTAAAGTTTCCACCACTGTTGGCATGGCACACGGTTTTAACTCTGTCATACTGTTTAGTTGTCGAAAGTCAACACAGAATCTATACATCCCATTCGCTTTCTTTACTAACAGCACTGGAGAGTTGTACAGGCTATCAGCTTCTTCAATAATATCGTCTTTTAACATCTCTTGCACTTGCCGCTTCACTTCGCCTTCCAGATGACATGGTATTCTTCGCGATGTAAATGACATTACTTTTGGATTAGTTAACGGAATTTCATGATTCACCTTGTCGCAATAGCCGTATGGATCGCCATCTCCAGTGAACAGATGATCGTATTTCTTAATTAAATCTGTCATGTTGTATACCGTCGACAGGTTCACC